GCAACAATTTGAAAAGTGAAACTGGACATTTATAGTGACTCAAAGCAAAATCTCAAAACCTTCAGGGGCAATAGCCCGTTTTGGACTAACAAATTTGGGCTAATTAAAAAAAAAAAAAAAATCTGAAAGCTTTCAGATTAACATTGGGTAATTTACCATTAAATTCAATAGGTTTTGATACAATCAGATGTAAATATTTTGTAATTACGTCGTAAATATACATATAAATGTATATATATATATATATTTTTGTACAGTACTTCAGAGTCCTAAGTATATGAAAAGAATACATTTTTAAACGACATTTCATTCTGAAGGGAATTAAATGCTATACTTTTCACAGAACAGTTTCCTCAAAATGGTTTAATTTGAATGAAATATTTTCACAAGTTTCCGTTAATTACATTAGAAAAAAATTTTAAGGTAATTTGATTTTATTTGGTTAAGGATTACAAACATTAAGATCAAAGTTTATTGCATTATTATTAAAATTATGGAGCTTCTTCCTAAAATACTTCTCAAATATGACATATTTTAGCTTCTGAGGCATCTTTTAAATGGAAAACTATAAGTCAGTTTATAATTAATGCTCTATTCTATTCATTTCAAATTAGAGCACCTTTTATTTTAATAGAAAAATACTTTAGATAGTACTTAAATTTCTCTGAATATTTCTGAAAGGGAATAAAATAAAGATTTTTTTTTAAATGTTATTTAGAACTTGTAATTGAGTAATAAAATGTAAGGGGAATAATTCTTTTAATTATACTTATCAGTTTTTTTTTTTACCCATAATTTCAACAATACGTATTTCAAAACTCTTCTTTAATACTTAAGTACGCATCTCATAAAATTTGCTTTTCAATACCTTTTAACAGATTGCTTTCCAGTATGAACAATTCTTGCTTAAATAGTTTTATAATGTATTTGTCAAAAGGATTTCAATTTATGTTTACAATTCAATGCCAAGTTTATTATATATTTAGATAATATTTATAATCATTATAAATTTAGATACACTGATTTTTCTTTATAGGTACACAATTAATTGATACATCTAAAAAAAACTAAACCTAAAAACTAAAAAAAAAAATTATACCAATTGTATAGTTTAGTAATTAACTAAATATTTGTTAAATAATTAAATTTCTTCACAGCAACTTTCACTTGTTTATGAATGAATAAATCTTTCATTTCAAAGACGTTTATAAATAATTTAATAAATAGTTATGTATTTTGTTAAAGGCAGATACATTGCTTTTTGCGAGTACATGTATAAATACCCATACATATTTCATATTTTTTATTTCAGGCATTAGCAAATCTTTAATTTTTGTGCATTCACTACATCTTTCGAGTAAAGTAATTTACACTAATTTCACATATACCCGAAAGTTTTACATAAGAAATATATATAAATATAATTTGAATGAAAATTATATGCACTATTTTTAATACCCACTCAAAGGTGAGTTTTTTTTTTTTTTTTTTTTTTTTTTTTTTTTTTTTTTTTTTTTCTTTTTCCAAAATTCCTCCATGATGGCATCTCTCCCTTTAGACAGATAGCCCTTGCATGCCTTACTCTATTTAATAAAAACTTAACCTGACCTATGTGCCTAATTACAAATATTTTAACATGTATAATTTTATATTTACATTTAGCCATCAAGTTTCACACTTTTGACTTAAAACACGTTTTAGGATACATTTATCATCAAATTCAAATCTTTTAGTAAATACATTTTGGAAGAGCACTCAATACCTCTTTTATCGATTTTGCACAGTTTAATAATTCTCTGATAATATAATAAATAATAATAATAATTAAGTAAAACGTGTAAGCCCAAAGTGATTATTTTTCAGCTATATAAAAATAAAATAATGAGTTTTAAAGCCTCTTCTCTAAAAAATTTTAAAAAGTACATGTTAAAATAATATGTGGATGTGAAAAAAAATTATTTTATTTAAAACATTTTGGCGTTTGGAACCTGAAATAAAAGTAGCGACTACTCTATCAAGGGTATCGAAAGATGTACACAATTTTAAAGGTGCCTTAAGGTATTTTTCATTCTTTAAGCACAACATTTTTGGTAAAATCTATATTTTTGTAGTTCAACAGCTTAGAATTTTATAAAACAAATTCATAATCAAAATTGCTGTTGTTAGTTATCGAAAAATAACCAAGATGTCATTTTTGCGTAAATGCCACTAAACTATGCAAATTGCTATTATCCATCACACTATGAATGTTTCTTTCATGCGAAAGTGTCCCGTTTTTCAATTTGTATGGAACTGTCATGTGTCGAAATACTATCAGAGTACTATCAGGTGAGCTTCTGAATGTAAACAAAAAACACCCCATATGGTGACCGAAGCTTTGAAGCAGTGTTTCACTTCTAGTGTCGGTTTGGCCACTCCTTCCTTTCTTACCTCCATGGAAATCTATGTAAGACCAGAAAAAGCATCAGTTCCTCAGTTATTGTTAGCTGTTAATTTATCGTGAGTTCAGACTACTGAGATATCTCTGGTTTAGCTTCGCTCTTTAGATGTGCTTTGCCCTACATTCTGCGTAGTGTTCTTAGTAGTTTGAAGTATAACTACTAATTGTACTCTGTGATAGTGTGAAGAACTGTATGACTACTTTTGTGGAAAATTCTAGAACTGTGAAATGTTTCTTCTGGTAAAATAAATTTTATCAAGCTATCATCAATTCTGTGTGCATTCAACAAAATACGAACCTGTACGCTCGTAACAATATACTTCCATTAAGAATTATTAACAATGAAATTTAGCATGCTTTTCATTTACCATTTCAGTGTTTGCACCCTAAACTTCCAGCACGCGCGCTTGCCAACTTTACAAGAGCATGCGTGTGTCATATTTTTTACGACATCTATTATTTTACTGTTTTGGGCATGGAAAAACTACAGAAATGAGTGAATATTGATAATACATTTGTTAAGAAATGAAATATTAGCCTTATTATTGCAAAATACAAATTATGTTACATTCAAATGAAAGTAAATTATTTTTAAATACTTATATTAGTCAGGAGGAAATAAATGATGTATTTCATCATAAAAAATTATAATTTATTCTTTAATACTATATTTTAAAATCCAAGCTAGTTTTAATATTCATCCTCCTGTATGTTGATTTATTATTGAATGGAAGACAACTTGTCAGAATAAAAACTCTTATAGCTCATCCAGCTGTTGTTATTCGTTCAGTGCCATCACTTGAGGATAATTCTTTTACATGCTGTCCTTTTTTTATTCTTATCTATAACATCCAAAGATGCCATTTCCACTCTTGAGGTAGCAATTCAGTCGCTGTCCCTTTAGTATTTGCCTTTTAGCAAAACTTATATATTTATTTGTACATTCCAAAATTTCATCTAGCATATTTATATCAATTATTTCAAAAAATGATCCTATTTCATTCTCTGTATCCTTGGAATGCTGTTTTAGGTCAGGTAAGACTTTCACAATATTCATCTTATTTGGCTTTATTTCGAATTAATTCACCTTATTCGAGCACTTTGCAGACTCCTGTTTTCTCCACTTAGAAGATTTATCCTTACTAACATATCATCATTCCTTTTTTCTATATGGTTACTATCATTATCATCTGAATTTATTGCTTAGACTCACTGCTGATATTATTTATTTCTATATTTTTCTTACTCAAATCATTATTGTTCTAATATTCTATAATAATTATCTTCTTTTTCTTCATCAGATAATAATTCTTGAAGAATGGGAGCAAAATCAGCTGGTTGTATACATTTTTTTTTTTTTTTTTTCTTATGAAAACCGATATAAAAAATTTTAAGTCAAATTTATACAAATTAAAATAATACACGTCAATTAATAACACAAAATTACAAAATATTTGGGAAAAAGAAGTATTTTTTTAATTTTCACCCATGACCATGCACATGTTGTAACTTTTGTAAAGAAGCTGCCACATAGCAAAGATCAATAAAAAAAAATGCTGCATATGACTTCCTGTTAGCACATTCTGTGATGTGAGGAAGGATTGAAAGGAGGAATAGAAATGAATTTCAGGAGTCTCAGTTGCAATATGCGAAAAATGTGCATTAAAAACCGAATTTGTCATAAACTTTTTGCATGACATGCGTGCTGGAAGATTGCAAATAAATTTTAAAAAGTTACTAGAGAATTAGTGATTAAATTTTTTATCAGTACTTACCACTGGTACTTTTATCAGTACCAGTACTTTTGCTAAAAGGCAAATACTAAAGGGACAGCGACTGAATTGCTACCTCAAGAGTGGAAATGATGGCATTCTTTGGATTGTTATATGATAAGAATAAAAAAAGGACAGCATGTAAAAGAATTATCCTCAAGTGATGGCACTGGAACTGAAATAATAACAACAGCTGTGATGAGCTATAAGAGATTTTTATTTCTGACAAGTTGTCTTCCATTCAATAATAAATCAACAATACAGGATGGATGAATATTAAAACTAGCTTGGATTTTAAAATATAGTTATTAAAGAATAAATTATAATTTTTTATGATGAAATACATCATTTATTTCCTCCTGACTAATATAAGTATTTAAAAATAATTTACTTTCATTTGAATTATACAGTTTTTTTTTTATTATTAACAACAAACAAAATATGAAATGTGTTTTAAAAAAGGATCTTCTGGGTATATGACATATCACATACTTTATTCCTATGTAAATGATTTTCATTTTATCAGTCATGATCTGCCTTCTGCCATAATTCTATAAGCCTTCTGGTTTTTTGCAAAGAAATCATTTTTTTTCTGCAATTTTCCCTTCATATGAAGATGTATACATTGCTAGCATACAATAAAAATGATCATTTAATTCATGAAAAATAATCAATTATTGTAGAAGATCATAAAAATTAAACACATGAAGTAAAGAAAAACACAAAATCAGATTTGAAATTGAAAGCCAAATCAATTACTATCAATGAATATACTGATATTAACTTACGAAGTCTGAAGTTCGCTCCGGTTGGAACTAAATTTTTTAAATTCTTTTTTCACATGATAGACACAATATTCACATTGAGCCCTAAAGTGGGGAGAAAAGAAAAAAAAAACTGATAAATTGCACAAAATTAATAACAAAATGTACACTTACATAATATACATAATTTATTTTAATAAAGGCTCAACATACATATTTACAATGATTCTGCAAGTTTCACCATCTTTTCTACGAGCTTTGCAGTGTCCAAAATCTTTAGATGTACCCATAATCATAAATTTACCGGCATGATCCACAGAAAGACTCAACACTTCATTTGTCTGAAAACATGAAAATATTCATCGCAGAAAATATATAGAATGTGCAAGATAAAATATTAATTTGCAGTGATACTTTATATATAGTAAATTATTCTTTCATGTATATTCTTTTAATTCAGACGAGCATTCATAATACAATGCAACGCATATAAAAATTTAAGGGGGGTGAAAACCTTTTTGAAAATACCTGTTAAGGGAAATAGTTTTACTGATTCAAAATTAAAAATGCATTAAATAAAATTTTATTACCAATTTTTTATACTGTCAATTGTTGTTTATTTTAAAAATAATTACCACCAATAAAATCTAGATTTATTAATTAATGTAAAAGTGCAACTGGAGAATTCTGAATAGTAAATAAAGTCTTACACAAACTAAAGTAGCTTTAGAAGTTCAAAGGTTTCCCCCCTCCCTTTTTTTCATACTTCCAAAGAATGCCATCATAACATTACCAAATAAATTATATTTTAACATAACATTACCAAATAACATTACCATTATCATAACATTCCAAAAGAATTATATTTATATTATATTTCTCGAAACTTTTATTCATTCTTTACACTAAAAAAATTAACAAAAGTTTATGAACAACATCTCCATTTGTAACAGTAAGATACCATCTAACTAATGAAATTAAACACATTCAGCTTACAAATATTAAATTAAAAACAATACATTCTCTCTCCAGAATTTTTTATATAAAAATAATCATCAAAGAGAAATCCACTGAAGATCCAAAACATGACCCCCTACTAAATAACGTGTTGCATGACCTTTGGCCTGCAAAATAGCTGAAACTACCTTGGCATGCATGCCCTAAGTTCTTAGGGTTGTACCAAATGTCTAGGCAGAGGTGATGCAAAGTTCGAGATATTCTGACATGGTAGTGTTTGGGCACTAAGCTGCCCCTCCAACACATCCTAAATGTGCTTTATCGAGTTAAGATCCGGCAAGTTAGGTGGCCAGGACATTAATTGAAATTCATCCTTATGCTCCTTGAACCACTCCAACACAATTTCAGCCTTGTGACATGGAGCATTGTCCTGATGGAAGACTTCATTTCCAGCTGGGAAGACAGATGCCATGGAAGGGTGCAACTGATCTGCAATTAGATAGCCTGCAGCTATCATATCATAGTCTGTTCTACAACTAAGGGACGCATAGCAGCCTATAGGAAACATTCGCCAAAAGCATAATATTGCCACCAGCAGCCTGTTTATGGCTTGTTGTACAGGGGGGAGTATTTGTTCACCTGGAAGACGATGTAGCCTGACACAATCATCGATGTGATGAATGAGAAATCGTAATTTATCCGACCAGGCAACTGTCTTCCACTTTCCATGGTCCAGTCTCGATGTTCCAAGGCCTATTGCAGATATAGTTGACAATGAGGATTTGTTAACAGAAGAAATGTGTGGGACGTCTGCTGCACAGTCCCATATCCAACAGTGTCCACTGAACAGTGTGTTCCGAAACATTGCACTTGGATGTGCATTGTATTAGGCTGTCAGCTGAGCCACTATCTGGAGCCGATTTTGCTGTGTACCAAGTGGGACAGTTTTTGACATCATTTTTCTTTGATGATGTGTGGACATCTTACACCTTGGCGACTACTGCTGGTTTCACCATCATTTATTCACTTTGCGTAAATACTAACAACGGCAGATCATGAACTTACCAATTGCACAGTTTCTGAGATACTCGTTCCAAGTCTTCAGGCCATTGAATGCTCCACAACACATTGCAAAGACCTTAGCAATTTTGTAATGACAGGTTATACTTTATTAAATTATTACTGGAAGACATACCATGCTATAAATTGTGATGCACTTTGAAATGATTTGAATACTTGTATGTACAGAGAAATGCATATGGCTTGCATCTCATAGAGGTCCTATCATATAATTTCAATATTAGCTATTTCATTGAGTCAGCAAAATTTAAAAAAAATATATATATACCACCTTTTCTACCCTTTTGCATAAAAACTAGGCAAGCACTATTTTACCAAATAAGCAATACTGGGTTTATCTAATATAAAAGGAACTAAAAAAAAAAAAAAAAAAATTACCAAGTTTTCTATGTATACCTTTTGCCTTTTCCCACTATTTTTGCTAATTGAAAATTTAGATATAAAAATTATTTTTTTTCCAAACCTATATCAGTATTGAATTTTACAGAATACCTAGCTTAACAGATGTTATGATTTTACAAAGCATATTTCATACTTTAAAATTTAGTATATTTGTTATAAATAATTAAAATTAGTATACATATTATAAACAATTAAAATTTTTCTCAACAAAATATTCCTTTCATATTAGAAATCAGTTTTTGGTAGGATGTAAGTATTTTTGAGAAAAAAGGGAGGGATACAAGAATTAATTACCATTATGCATATGAACTGAACAGGAACCATTAATGGATAATTAATGGTTATCCATAACATTAAATCAAAATATTAATGAATTTCATTTTTTTATGCATCTCTTTCCCTGGCCAATGGCAGTGATCAGAGATGCCATCATTTTCAGCAGCTTGACAAGTGAAGTCATAATCATCACTGTGATGGAGATTTTAAGTTTCCTTAAAACTCTTATCAATGAAATCAGCATCTAGGCTTCTGTGATCCTTTCACATGCTGTTTTAAGCTAGTTCTTTGTATTTTACTTCTAGATGTAAAACTGTGATTATTTCCATTCATTTACTTGGTGTAAAACCTTTGAATCCAATTTTTGAAAAGAAGTAACAGGTGGCAAGATTGTAGTTCAACTCATAAAAATTAGTTACATTTGTTCATGCTTTTTGAATTTTTTTTTCCAATGGCATATTCTGAACATTTACAGTTTAGTAACAGAGTCTATTAATCTATACTAAGGCCAGATGTGGTGGCCTTTCGATTATCGAGGCACTTAACAGGTCGACCACCATTACCTCCTATGAAGGGATGAACAGTTACAGCCATGCCTTCTCCAGGATTTGTACCCAGGCTCTTCGATATTGCACTCAGACTCCCCTAACCACTATACTGTCTGGGCGGCTGCTTTTTAAATTACAATTTTCAGTTTTCTACTCAGAGCCAACCTTCAATGTATAAGCTTGTATTTGTTGTTGTCTTGCCCATGAGTTTCATGGAAGAATGGCTGCCAGATTTAGAGGTTGACTTCTACTTCCACCCAGTTTTGAGGGAGAGTACCTGGGTGGTGATCCGAGGAGTCTTCCATCAATCTGCCCGTCTACCAAGCCACACAAAAGGACTTCCAGCTTGCCATATAAAGTGCCCAAATGTTGCAAAGACACTACATATTTACAAACATCCATCCCTTCTCTGGGATTTGAACCCGGGCCCTTCTATACTGCAGTAGGCTCCCCTAACAACTATACCATCTGGGCGGCAGCTTGTATTTATTATGATAAAGATACTTGCCTATTATTTCCCAAAAATGAATAAAGAAGAGAAAATACATGGTGAATAAAAAATATTAAATTATAGAAGTGCATCCTTAAAAGCAGCCTAGAAAATTAAAATATTGAAAATGCTGAAACCACAATGAGGCTCACAAATAATGATGACGTACAGTAAAATTATCAGTAAATATTTGAACTTCTCTAAAATTCATATTTTAGATATAGAATGCATATTATCTTTCACAGAAAATGGTTTCTGCACTTTAAAATTACTCAATGAATTAATTTTTGTCTTATTTTGATCCAATCTCCTCCATAGTAAAATGAGACTTAATAAATATTGCAAACAAAAGCATGCAGGATTAAGGAGAACATAGTTATAAATACTTCCAAAATCATAAAAGAAACTGATCAACAAAGTTTCATAACTTAATCACCAATAACTTTATGCAGTTACATTAAAAAGATAAAGTAACACATATTACCCACAATACTTTTTAGTGAAAGACATTCAGGAGAAAAAATTTTAAATAAACTTGGAATACTTTGACATATTACTAAGAAATGTAATAACTAGAAAATCTACATTAAACACTTTCTAAATTTTTTGAAGTAAAATAAAATATAGAGTCTATTTTAAAATATGAATGTAACTAGTGTAAATTCAGCTTATTATAAGAACTATTAAACAGAAAACAATTACGTATAATATTTCAAATTGCTGGTTAATGCTTAAATGAAATCATGCTATTAAAGCTATACACATTTATTGTGGACAGAAAAAAATCATGTGTTCAGATTTACTCACATCTCTCCCTGGAATAATAGATGGATTCAAAATACCAACTACGGTTCCTACAGCAGTCTTCCAATGTTCTGCATGTGCAGCTCCGAATAAAAAAACACTCACAATTTTCTCGCAATCAAGAAGGTCAGTCATTTTCCATATGGAAAACATTTTGCCCTATTTAACAAATTTTTATATTAAAAATATTGAAATTAATAAAATAAAAATATAGAAAATTATTTACAAAGAAATCGATTTTTGTTTTTGGCTTTGCTATATACATCATATCTACAAAGTCTTTTTTTCCTCCTGGCCTTCATTTTTGTAAAACACTGGCCGTGGAAACACATTTCAAATTATAAAAAAAAAAATTTAAACAACACAAATATTCATGCTTTGACATTTTAAAATAAATTTTGTAAAAATATTAAATTTAATTTTTTACATATTCTGCTGGTTCCTACAGTTATATTTCATGAAAACTTATTCTGAGAAACGGAACACAAAAAGTTTGATTTCTTTGTGATAAAGTTGCCTAAATATTTCATTTTAAAATTTTAGATTTTTATGGATTTTTAGAGTGATAGATTACCGAATTTATTACTGCTGAGGTGTCAATTAAAAAATAAATTAGGATAAATTGAAGTTGTCCTTATTTCCATTTAAAGTTATTCCATGATATTCCTTTGTGATTTACAAATATGTAACATTTTTTATCCTAAGATTTTACTACATTTGGTATGCAAAAATAATTTTTAGGTAAGTAACTTAAATTTTCTCAAATTTTAAAAATATATTGATAATATTATTTATATTCACATGAAATTTTATTGGAAACATAATCTAATAGTCATACGAAAAGTACATTTGATGAGAAATATTTTTAAATTCAAGCAAATAACATAAATTGCAATTATTGAAATCCACTAATGTGTCTCGAACACAAATTCTGCACCTAGATTTGTTTTCACTGAAGAAATTGAGTAGATATTTAAATTCACACTTAATACTTCTAAGTGGTTATCTGCTGTTATTCTTTGTTCTATTACATACTTGCCAACCTATGATACTAAAAAATCAGGAGATTTTTCTCAATGACAAAAAGATTTTTGAATGAAGAAAATATATTTTTTAATACTGAACTAACTTTAAATATTTGCTAATTAATATCTGAAAGCTCAGTTAGTAAATTTTTAAATGCAAACAATACTTATATAGAAAAAATATAATTTTCATCTTTTAACCAAAAAATAATAATAATCATACTTCAATCAGTTTTTTTATACAAATGCTATGAGCAGTGGCAGATTTTGCTTTCATTAAGAAAGAAACTTCATAATTTTGTTCATAGCAATCGCCATATAGTTTTCTAATGTGTCATTACTAATATTAGATCTAAATCTAATCCTTGATTTCACAACAACATTGAAAATCCTCTCGCACTCTGCATTATTATGGGAAATTGTCAGGATGGCCAACATTATTCTAGATAGAGCCCCCCCCCCAAAAAAAGGCCCGGTGGCTAGCATATCACGCAGCAGCATCACAGGTCCGGGGTTCGAACCCTGGGCTGGGCAAAGTCGACTCAGCCTTTCAATCCCTTGGGTTGATAAAATGAATACCAAGTTTGCTTGGGGACTTAACACTGGGGGTCCTGCAACAAGCTGACCAATTGTTCAGGGCATATGCTTACACACCCTGGGGACCACGGTCAAGAAAGCAGATTTCAGGGCACTGCAGGCCTTGTCCCATTAGGGCTGTTTGCACCACTGAGTTTATTTATTTATTATTTTTTTTTAGTTCACTATACTTTAAAATTTCATCAGCATCTTTCAGCTTTTCAATTAAACTCTCTTGGGTGTCAATCCTAGCTGTTTTTAAAACTTTATCAAAGTTTTCTTATTGTAAACTGCAAAACTGCAATTGCAATTTATTGGTTGCAACATCAATATAATCTCCTTTCATGACTAAATGAAGCAAAACTGGAAATCTATTAAAAAAATATCTTATCAGAAAAAGATGCATTTGCTACAGCAGATGCGTCTAACTTTAGCCTGTAAAATTACTTCATCATTGATTGGAAATTTATATAGTATGTAATCACATACTCGCAGAAGTAGCTTCTAACATGGAAATAACTTATTTTTGTCTTCTCTGAAAGTTCTTCGAATACATTGTTAGTTGCATTCCTTATTACCAAATTTTCATCTTTCTTCTGACTTTCTATTTCATCATAAATCACATCATACATAGAATTAGAAGAGAAAACAAAGATTGCTTTTACAAACTTTGATAAAATGCTTCTAAACAGATCATAAATGATTAATTGCAAAACATGAATTAATGGAATTTTGCTTTGCAGAACTGTGTTAAGAATATTGAATGATGGCAAAATAAATTGTACAAAAAAGCTTTGTTAAGCTCCTAAGACAAAAACATAAATATTTGTTCTTCACAAGATAAATTTACAGTAATTGGAAAATATTTTCTTTGTTGAGAATTTTTTTTATTTTGAGAGAAATTTATATCAGCCTTACGCTTATATTTTGTAGTATTATTCTGAGAACTGCCAATTAAATTCCTCACCGGTGCAGAAATTATTTTTCTCAAACCTATTTTTAACAGTGGAAGTAATAACTACATCTCCATTTACTTTAAGTATTTTATAACTTTAAATACAGCCTTTTAACTTAACTCTAGAAGCATTTACTTCTTCTTTAAAAATGCAACAAGTGGGTTCCATTGGTCGAGAAATCTAGATCGTTTCTTAAAAATAGTGTGTACATACATGTTTTAATTTTTTTTCTTATTTCAGGATTATGCAGCTGTTGGAAATGCTTCAATTTTTTCCCTTCCTTTTAGAAGCCCTTTCAAGATAATAATAAATATCAACAATGTATTCATCTACACCTATTGGTAAAGAAGCTGCCTTTTTTCCTGCTAAATTTAAGAGGTGACAGGTGCACATCATAATTTGCAAATCTGAATTTTCCTTTTTTTAAGATGCCTGCAACTAGTGCATTATCGGCGGCAAGTGCTAAGCAATTACCCAGAGGAACTGCATATTCTTTTAAAGTTTTAATAATTAGCTGTGCTATATTAAAATCTGTTGAATGTTCTTCTACATAAAGTGGGGACTACATTCAATTTCTGAAGACACCGGATTAAAAAGAGAATTAACAACTGGATACAGTTTTGAATCAGTATTATAGCTCCCATCCATAGAGAAGCAGAATAGAGCTGTTTTAATGCAATCAATAATGGAAGATTTATTTTTTTTATACACAGTTCTTGAACAATTGCAGCTGTTTTGGTCTTTGCACTTGTAGTTTTCTGATTTCACTACTGGACTACATTTTTCCAAATGAAGCTGCAGTACGATTCAATGCATTCAGTGGAAGTTTGTGCTCCAGTAAAAAGGCAGAGAACAGCATTAATAACTTTTTGGTCCTTTGTTTTAACAGAAAATTCAATCTTTCTTCCCCCCCTCAAGTTCATGTTATCCTTGTGTTTTTGTGTACATGCATGTTTGAGAACATCGGCCTTCCCACCGTACGAAATCGAAAAATTTCAATGACAAACGGTACATATAGCAAGTGTATTATATTTCCTTGAAATAATAGAAGGAAAATCATCTGTGTATGATTTTTGAAAAGTGCATGAGTATTTTACTTTCTTTTGCAGACATAACTAAAACAAAAGATTGTAATTTCTTAAACTATTTCCTCAAAAGCACATGCATTCACACAGGTCAGCAACAAGATGAATGAAATAACAACCTTGATCTTGTTTTTGTGCTCATTAACTAATGTATGTCAGATGACATGCAGTGGCACTCCATACTCATTGGAGAACTGGAACATGTTTTCAGACACATGTGCTCTTACTCACAAAGCAGAAGCGTGCCATAATTTCGCACTTTGATTTTCTTTTGTATGTAATCTAGAGGAAAACCAAGTGCTTTCAGACACCCCAAATCATTTTTTTGTTCCAAATAACAAAATATTAAGCCAAGCTATTAAAAATTCGTGAGAAATTTTAAGAATAAGAGAAAGTCGTGAGAAATATGCTGTAAATTGGGTTGGTAGGAGAACGGTCAGAAATAGGGAGTCTCTCGCCTAAATCGGGAGAGTTGGTAACTCTAGTATTATAATGTACACTGGATAAAATATACAGTAATAATCCGTATAGCAAAACAATTATACTTAATGTTGTTGCTTATGCCCATTTGTCTGACGTAGTCAGCCCAAACCCATGAAATTCCTCGTGGCAAGGAGTGCTAGATTATGCCTGTCGTTGACAACAGCCCCAAGCACCATTCAGATGACAGTGCAATTTAGCTCAGTTCCGGCCCCAATTTTGATGGAGAGCACCCCAGGGGGATAGGTTTGATGGTCTCCCACCCTCTCCCTTTCCACCAAACCACACGAGAAGACTTATGGCTCGCTGCATATTTAGAGTGCCGCCATGCTGCACCAACACTATACATTTACAAACATCTATGCCTTCTCCAGGATTTGAACCTGGGCCCTTTGGCACAGCAGTCAGCGATGCTAACCACTATACCAATTGGGTGTCATCATACTTTATAGTCAATACAATCGAAATACACAAGAAGCTGCTAGACAATATTCAATAAAATTTCCTAATAATCAATATTTAAATATAAAACTATTTTAAATGTTATAAAATGTCTAAGAGAAACAGATAGCATACAATAGCACCCTCGATCAGGAAGATCCAAAAGTTGTAAAAGATGTAAAGATGGGCCATTCACTGCTCTGATTGATACAGTAGTATCATTAGCATCCAGTTCAAATCCTGGAGAATGCATGGATGTTTGTAAATATATAGTGTATAGGTGGCACGTGGGCACTCAAAATACACTATGATGCCAAAGCCCTCTCGTGGTTTGCTAGTAGGAAAAGAGGAATGGGAGACTCTCAGATCCTTTCTTGGGGTAACTTCCGTTAAAATTAGGGCTGAGCTCAACAGCTGATGCAATGGGATTCTCGTGCTTCACCCCACTTACACCTAAAGCTGATTAGGCTATCTATTTTTTATGATACTTTCATTGATGAGAAGTATATATTTTGGTTGGAGCACTGTTTGACTTTTTAGAAAATAATGTTTCACCAAAAGATATGCCAACTATGTAATTTGAGCATGACGGTATT